GTAAACCATTCGCAAGATTCAGCAGGCTTTCAGGGACGATCCTCGAAGCCAAAAAAAGCGCGGCAGGTCCGCAGCAATATCAAAGGTCATGTTGACAGTTTTTTCGACTCTCATGGGGTGGTGTGTCGTGAGTACGCACCACAAGGCCAAACCATCGCAAAGGAGTACTACCAGGAGGTCCTTTGTCGTCTTTCCGATGCTGTGTGACGCAAACGACTGGATCTGTGGTCAATCAAAAGTTGCCAGCTCCATCGTGATAACACATCTGCCCATTTTGCGCATCTGATTCAGGCTTTCGTTGCCAAACACAACACTTCTGTGGTTCGTCACGCTCCGTACTCTCCCCACATGGCTCCGTGTGACTTTTGGTTATTTTCCAAGCTAAAAATGCCGCTAAAAGGAACCTGATTTTAGTCGAGAGAAGACATCATGCAAAATCTGACGGACTGGCTGATGGCCATTCCAAAAGATGCGTTCCTGCAGTGTTTCCAGCAATGGCAGGAACGCTGGGAGAAGTGTATACATTACCAAGGAGACTACTTTGAAGGGGATTAGGGTTTTGTACNTATATATAGATTGAATTGAAATAGATATAAGTGAATTGATTATTATACAATCATAGTATACTTTAATAATAATATCTGCAAAAGTTTAAAATATTGAAGAAAAGCACAAATAAAATTAAAAAGTTTTGTTTTTCTATTCATTGTTTGTTTTCATAGTTCTGTAAACACCGAAAAATTTTTTATAATATTATGATGATCATGTATAAAGCAATATGACAGTAAAGAATTTTAAAGATATATTTTAAATATTTTTAAAATTCCTTAATAACAAAAAACATACATGAGAGTTAACTAGCTCATTTAAATTTAAAATTTTTTAAAGAGATTATTAAGGAGATAATTTTCTACCTTGCTTAAGGATATATTATTAGAAAGAAAGAAGTTTGAATTGTTTATCTTAAACTGAAGAAGCAATAAATTTTTGAAACAACAACTTTCTCAAATATGATATTTTGTTTGTGATTTTTCTCAAATGGCTTTAATCTTTTAAAATTAATTACTAAATTTTGGCTCTTCAATCATTACTAAATTTCACATTTCACTTTTAAACATAAATGGATTTAGATTTTATTTATTTATTTATATCTCAAATTTGTAAATGTGACAATGATAGATAAATTTAAATATAATTTTATTGTAAATTGCTTATAAGTAGTTTTCTCATTTATATAATGCATCTTGAAATCAAAGAAATAGAGTATTTGTTCTTAATTCATTTATTTGAAAAAATTTTATTAAAAATTTAATCAAATTGATAATTTGTGAGAACCCAGAAGGAAGTCAACATAGAGGTCCGAATGGAGACTATCAATCAAGAAATTAAAATCTCCTTTTACAACTTGAAAGGGAGAAATTAAAGATCTTGATTAAACAATGGAAGTTTTTTTTTTTTTTGAATTATTTAAAACAATAGAAAAGACTAAAGTTGAGGGAAACATGGCTGGAGAGGAATCATATGTAGTCGCAAAACTGACCCCTCCCGTGCCCTCCAATCGGTTTCGAATTGTCACCAGGTGACGAGTCGGGACCAATGAAAAGGCAGCTTTAAAAGAAAAACATATAAAACTGCGTGTTTCAAGGACAAGAAGTTCTTGGTTCATAGTGCACCCCTCCTGGATTTTGAGCTCCTGTCCTTCTTCAACGAAGACTTGTTTGACGTCCTAGGATTCATTTTCACTATCCCGTCTTGTCAAGATTTGCCCAGATACACCTGATCATCGGAAGTCATTTCGGCAAGTTGTGCAGTGCGCCCAGTGCCATTGCTCTCCACATCATCTGTGCCGAAAGAAACAAAACGATTTCCGGAACATTTGGACTTTTTGAACTGACTTGTTTCCCACCGTTGGATTATATTTCTCATTATATGAATAGTTATAAGGAAATTTATATATCTATTAAACAGTTTTAAATGGTAAACCTGTCTCCGTGAATCTTCCACACCCACATGACTGTATTGACCACTCGACTGTCATGACACTTTCCACCCAATCTCACAATTATATAGAAATGTTTTAGATTATTTTTATTGTTGATTGCTAGTTACTAGCATAAATATTTGAGATTAAACTTACATACATATACAAACTTTTAATAATCTCAACAGTGTTTAGCACTAATAATGAAACTTTTAATCCATTTGGTACAGTTAATTGTGTAAACTCATGATATGTTAGATTCATTTTAAACTTTCAAAAATTTACAATGCATTTTGTCATGTATTTTATTTATTTGTTATATTATCAAAATGAATATTAATGTGTAGTTCTGTTTCTAATTTTATTATAGTAAAAATAAAAATTTTATAAGTTTCTATTTTTATGAATAACTTAAATACATTTTTTTATAAAATATATCCAGTTTTTACTGTCTTGAGATTTATTCAATCATTCTTTTTTTACATTCTAAATTATTATAATCAATTTTGCTTTTGCTAATTACTTGTTTTATCCAGAAAACAGTTTGTCTGTTCTTTGTTCTTACTGGGTACACTTAACAAGATGTTTTTTATTTGGAATAATGTGCCATAAAATGCCATGCAAAGCATTTTTATCAGTGTATTGATTACACCATTGTTTTCTTTCTTATTTGCATTGTATTACTTATTTTTGCTAATAGTAATAACTTTCAAGATATGGTAAACTTATTAGGCTGTCAGAAAGTATTTCTTTTAAATTGAAAAAGTACAGAAATATAAATGATTTCATTAGTTAACAAAGATATAATTTCAACAAATTTTTCTTCCCAGCTTCATAAAGATATTAGGACAAATTCTTTTAATCTTAAAAATTAGTTGAGAATGACAAAAGAACATTTGATGATCTTTTAATTCTTTTTGCATTCAGGTTTGGTTCTTGCTTGGTAAAAGCCTAAAGGCAGGTTAATCATGTCAAGGTTATCAAAATACTTATTTGAAAATACATAAGTATATTTGTGAAGGATTGTTTTAATGTTTAGAATAGATTTCTTACATTCCTTTCTCTATTTTTAATACTTTTTTGTATTTTATTTTTTGCTCTACTTATTGAAGTTTATAAATTTATATAAATCCTCCAATTGGATTTTTTAAAGTATTCAATATAAAAAAATCCTATTTTGTTTTCTTACAATATTGTAAGTTTGATAAAATATATATATATATATATATATATTTATGCACACTTATGCTAGGAAAACAAATGTATGACAAATAATAACCAGTGTAAAAAAAAATTTATATGTTAAGAAACTTATATTATAGATATGATATTTAAGTTATAGCAGGACTTAGTTTTAATATCTAAGCACAATGGGAAGCCCATTTGGCATATTAAACAACTCACTACGCTGGATGCTAGTCTCTTATGTACTTTCATGTAGTATGAGACAAGCCTCACAAAGTTAACATATAGGTTGTCCATAACTTTTAATTACTATAATAACTGTATTAAATAAATAAATATATATATATATTTATTTATTTATTTAATACAGTTATTATAGTAATTAAAAGTTATGGACAACCTATATGTTAACTTTGTGAGGCTTGTCTCATACTACATGAAAGTACATAAGAGACTAGCATCCAGCGTAGTGAGTTGTTTAATATGCCAAATGGGCTTCCCATTGTGCTTAGATATTAAAACTAAGTCCTGCTATAACTTAAATATCATATCTATAATATAAGTTTCTTAACATATAATAACCAGTGTAAAAAAAAATTTATTTGTCATACATTTGTTTTCCTAGCATAAGTGTATATTAGATTATACTATTTTAAATGTTTTAAAATCCTAAAATTGACTGAACAATTTGATGGATGAATGAAACCCAGTAAGACAACAAACCTGTCATATAATAATTTTACAGCTATGATTTTATGTTAAAAAAATTCAGATTTTATTGGGATTATTGTAATTTTAAAAAACAGTTTCATAAAGCAGTGTTGTTAATAAATAAATACAAACTATAAAAATATTTATTATAATAGTTTGTATTTATTTATTAAATACAAACTATTTTATAAATATTTTTACTAAAATCATCTCTCTAATTCTTGCAACACTGTTTTTTTAGCAGAAGATGTAATGAATAGTGTTATGATATATTAACATATCAGTATTAATAGGGGTGTGTGTATATACATGCACACATAATAAAAAAATTGTTCAGTTAAGATGAAATGAAGCTTTGCACTACAATAATAAAAGTTTGTGTATCAATGTTAGGGTTTCTCATTTTCCGGGAAATTTGCCTCTAGCGGGATTATGGAAAAATCATTATTTTCCCCCGGATCCCGGGAAATTCTGGGATGAGATTAGTAAAATAGAATTTCATATGAATAAAAAATATCATACAGGAATATCTTAAATTTGAATAATTTAATTTATTTTCTAGTAAGTAACTAAAAGTGTAGGGCCAATCTCACCCATACCAATGCGTTAGGCTCAATTAATTTATGTTCTCCTATATTATAATATGAAAGTGAAATAAAGCATTTCATTGGGAGTTTTAATGAACATAATAATGATTACAAAAAAATACTATTTTATTTCTAAAGATGAAATAAAAAATATACTGTACTTATTCCATAAATTTAATGACAAAAAATACAATTATTTTGAATTGAACAAAAAATACTTCTCCAAAAAAATTATTTTTAGTTGAACATAAAAAATACTACTCAAAAAATTTATCAAAACAAAAATCTCTCTTCCCCCCCAAAAAAACATAAATTTTCATAATAAGACTTCAAAAAACAAAAATGATTGATACTTTGATCGCTTAATCTAGTCTCAATTTGGTCACAAAAAGACCTGCAGCTGAAAGCGCCAATGGTTTGATTTTATAAATTATACTAAATTAAATTGTTGTAAAATACAAGTAATTGACTAATATAGGAATTTCAAATAATCACTTACAGTTACAAATGATAGGATATAAATAGGAATGTAAGGTTTAACAAATTCCTTAATTTATAAATGCGAATTCGAAACTAAAGTGCGATGAGTGATATTTACTTTCAGCGAGTGCTCCGCTGTTCAATGATGCACAAACACAATACATAGATACTGTATTACATGAACTAACAAGTAGAGACTTGTAAAACATAGGTAATAATATGTAGCATAAAACCTCAAAATTTCTCTCTTAGGTGAGTCTTCAAGATGCAACTTTTCATATAATAAATGATAGAAAGAAAACCTGACATGATAAATTATTATTGAAATGTGAGATTTCCCGGAAAAATAAAATTTCCTGGAATTTTTCTCATATGGAATAAATGGCGGGAATCCCAGGAAAGAAACCCTAATCAATGTTTACTACTTCATAAGACTGAATGAATGAATGTTTTAAAGTGAAAAACAATATTCCTTTACATTTCTAAATTACTAATAAATAGGCATAATTTGATACTCTTGACTTTGTTAAATATTCAAAATTACATTGAAACCACAAACATTGACAATATTTTGCTGAAAATATAAAGAAAGTAAAAAAATCAAAAGATTTTCTGTTATTTAATTCTGATATTTAAGATATTTGTTAAATAAACAATGTAACAATAAGTAATGCTGTTTGTTGTAATTCACACTAAACATCAGGAGGTGTTTTTGACATTTTTTTTTTGCCTTTTTTTTCTTGTTTGCATCGTAGTGCTGTGTGTGTTTATGATGAAGGATGAATGGTAAGCATTTCTTTAGATGAAATGATACCATATTAGACATAGTAAATTGTGGTTTGTTGAAAACAACAGATATCTTTACATCAAACCATTTGAACATATTGTATGAAGATTATACAAAATTGAATACATTTGATGTTTTAAAATAAAATATTTAGTAGTTCAAAATAAAGTGCTTAAACAGTGAAATTAAAATTTGCTCATTTTCTCTATTCAAGATGTAAAAAAAGTATTGGATATGGCAAGAATTTATAAGACAATTACTAATTTTAACAACCTTTAAATTAAGTAGATTACCATTCTAATTGTTATTAGGCCAAGTCTCCATTAGCATAAAAATGAGTGTAAAAACTCTTGCTGTAATTATTTTTAATCATATGACAAGCAAGTTGAGCAATGTTCAATTTTCAACATGAATACATCCATAAAACTGTACCATCAACCAGTCAGAAGTCAGTGGACTTTCTACGTTGTCATGACATCAAGCAAAAATTGTGGGAAATGAGCACTTTCTATTCTCTCTTTCTTTCACCGTTTTGGTGCTTGTGAAGTTTTTGATTAGTCTTAACATTAGAATAGCTAATGCAAAAGGCCTAGGATAGACGTGCAAAGATTTATTGAAAACATCAGAAAATATCCTTGTATCTATGACAAGAGGCAGTGGATCAACACTGCAATCAAATCACAAATGCAAATAGGTCATGTGATTAAAAATAATTACAGCAGGGGTTTTTTTATGCTAGTGGAGTCTTTGCCATAGACTATTTATGTTTAAGAACTGTGTTAATGAGAGGGAACCATATATGTACAGAAAGGCAGTAGTACAGAATATAATTTTGAGAAAATTAGAAAGAAATCTAATATACCAGTTTTTCAGTCCTTTACATCTAGAGATTGGAAGCGAGTCTAAGACAAAACTTACTGAAAAATATTATTATAGAATATTGTGAAACATATTTATATTGGTATGTTTTTAAACTGTTGTTATTTAAGTATATTAAATTTCTTTTTATTATCTGAAGTTTATTTTTTATTATTTCTTAAGTCTATTTAATTTTATTATCTGCAACTGGGTATCATATTGTGGACCATTTTTGGAAAACCATGCATTGTACTATATTATAACAGAAACAAACTTTTAAGAAAAAGTAAAATGCAGAAGAGATTTAACCAAGTTTTATGCCCCCTTTTTTTTTTTTTTACTAAGATGGTGTTAGATGAAATTTGTCGCGAATGAGATGATGAATCTGAAGTTATTTATATTTTAGATCTCAATTAGATTTAAAAATATATTTTGTTAACTAAAACAATTTTAATTAAAATAGAAATATCTATATTGCCAATGATAACTGCAAATTAAAAACTATTTCCAAATTTATGATTTTTTTATGATATGTTTAAAGAGAGATTAAATTTTTTGATTTTTAAATATATATTAGTTTAATATGTTTAATTTTGTATGATATGTGAAAGGTCTGTTAGTTATTTAAGGTATCTTCATATTAAATATAAAGGCAAACATACTATATAAAATAAGATTTAAATAAATAACAAAGTATCATCAATATATATGGTTTCAACATAGTTTTTTGTTTTCATCTTATTAAATAACATGATGACTAGCCAAACAATTTGATGGGAAAGTCTAAACTATGAAACAATAGCAAAATTGACAACTTAAATCCTATTTTCCTATCATGGTAATGCATATTTTAAAAAAATTCAGTTTTTCATGCTAAATGTTATATACTGTTAGTATTTTAATGATGCATAAATTTTTCAACAGTAAAAAAGCTTTTGAAAACAGTATTTTCAAATAAACTTATATTTACTTTTTCTTAATTTTCTTGCAGTATATTAAAATAGTTGGCTCAAATAATTATATTTAAATGAATTTATAATATGCTAAATGAATAGTCTATCAGATTATAGCAAAAATGAAAAGAGCTTATCTCATCAAGATGAGAATGAACCAGACTCAAATTATTCAAATATAACTTTAATTAACATGGGGAATGCATTTCAGGTACACGCAGATCCCTCATCAGCCCACTGAAGATTAAACATATGGCAGTAAACACAATAAATATCTAACATATTGTAACAAACACTGTTCACAGACTGATATTATAAATAACACGGTGCACTGTGTATACAATTACATAAAATACTAAATTAAAAGTAATTAAAATCTTACAATAGTACAATCCATACAATCCACAAAGATAAAAACAATCAATAGTTGTAGTGCATGAGGAACTGACAAATATACTGTTTTCTTTAATTATATAAAACTTATTATACAAATTATACTGTTTTTTTTAAATATATAACTTACTATTGATGGAACCAATTTTATCATTAGTTACATTTATGATTTAATTATAATAAATTAAAAATCTGGGTGTCTTACTTTACTCAGTTTAATATTTCCTTTAGTTAGATTAATACATTAAATTAATTAAATATAAATAAATAAATAAAAAATATCTGTATATATTTATATACTCAATTTTTATTTAATAAGTTAAATAGTTATTGAAAAAGTATATATGTATATATATAGTTATCTTTATGTTGAAATAGGCAAATTTCAATTCATATTAACCTGTTATAGTATCAACATTAATACAAACTTGTCAAAAACAAATTATGTACTGTACATATTGATTTACCTGTCTACATTATGTTGCTTGAACTATATTACAATTTTACAATATTAATAGAACTTTAGATATTACAAGTGTAGATGTTACTACAACCTTAAGATCAATGTATTACATTTACATGAAGATGCTTAAGATCAAGATTATCTCATTGTTGCTGTAATCTGGTAGGCTGTTCATTTAATGTATATTTAACTTTGGACTATAAGCATACCTAATTAAATGTTTTTATAATATTATAAATTAACTAAAGTTTGGGGGGTTTTTTAACAATGATAAAATATCTCAGAATTGTTGCTTCTTGTTTTGGTTTTCATATTAATAATTAGTTAATAGACTAATTGATTTGTCTTTCTTTCAGACTTTATTTAATAAGATTGGTTTGATAAGTCTGGAAGAGTGTCAAATCAGTTATGATAACAATTATTAAAATGATAAAATATATTTTTCCAAGAATAGCTTATTAACTAAGTATTTTAGTTTGAAAAGTAAGTCTATATGCTAACTTCTAAATAAAAAGTTTTAATTCTGTATTTATCTAATAATTTTTGTTTTTAATTATTTCAGATATATATAATTACTGTATATATTAAAAAAAAAACATATATCAGAATAAAACCAGACAAAATTTATTTTTATCTGGAGGAAGAGAGGAAAGATTTTACTGTTTTGTTGCAGCATTTTGTATAAAATTACATTAAATCTGCCTAACCTGAAAAACTTGTACTTATATTATGAGATACATTTAAGTGTACAAAATTTCCTTCATTAAACAAATTAAATATTCAGTAAAAATGTTTAAAGCTTTAAAATAAAATTTTGACAGTTGTAAATTTCATTGTTTTGCAGTAATTTTATTAAATACTTATAGTTCACTTTTAATAATTGTGTTTGTTATAAATTTAACATTCAACAGATTAAAAGAAATATTAAACTTTGAAAAAATAAAATATTTACTTTGTAAGATGATCTGAATAGTAAATCCATTTTTGTCATAAGATTAAAAAGTAAAATAATAATTAACACTGATGATTTTTATAGAATTATTAATGTTACATTGTTGCATACTTATACAGTAATCAATTCCACATTTAAATTTGGAAAATTAAATGAAATATTTTAATAAAAACATGCTCTAATCTTACACATTCCAATTTTATTCTTCAGATAAGTGTAAACGAATCAGTTAATATGAATTATTAATCACTTATTTTGTAATTTATGAAATGTATATGTATTTAAGATATTTATGTAATATAGTGTTTATCTATTTTGAAATGTGCTAAATGCTAAAGAATTGTCATCAGAACTGTTTCTTTATTAAATTAATATTTTGAATTATACGATTTTTATGATCTTAAAATTTTTGTTTTTAATTCTGTTTCTTTTTATTCTGTTATTTAATAATCTATGTTCATCACCAAAAGTATTACATTATCATAACTTTAAAAAATAAAGAAGTCATAATTTTTAAACATTTAAATGGTGCACTAAACATTTTTGAGCAACTTTTTTATCATCAAATGTTAATATAGAAGAAACACTGATCTTAAGGAACTTTAAAAACTTCAGATTTCTCAATTTAAGAATGTTCCATGTTAGCATCTGATGCTGAGGAGAAACTCTTAAAAAAAAATATTTGTACTTAAAAAGTTCTATAATAAAATGTAGTTATGATGACACATTTGTGATGATAACCTATTTTCACAACTTCCTGTTACATAGGCCAACAATAACCTCAAATTGAAGCTAACAAGATTAATTTCAGAGCAGAGATGATCTATATGCTCAGAAAAACCTTTTTAAGCATTCAAACAAGAATTTGAATAAATGCTTACTTATAATGAAATTTCCTATAAGCAAAATAATAATACAGTAATAAACATATAAATTTTTCAAATTATATACATAAATATTATACATAAATGCTAATTACACATAAATGATTAATTAAATAAATAATTTAATCCTAACAATTATATTTTATTAAATTTTATTAATTTTACTTGATTAAAATGAATTTTAATTTCAAATTATTTGATAAAGTTGTTATTGTCAATATAAATTACTTTCAATATAATCAGTTTCAACTCAAATTGTGATTCTCAATTTTCAAAAAAGTAAAAGATTGCTAATAAAGACAAAATGAATGTCAGAAAATAAATCAATAAAGTTTTCCTCTGGTACAATTTAGGCTTTAGATTGATGAATCAAAGATGATATTTCTTTATTTGTAATATCAGAACTACATGTAAAGTTGTACTTTCATTTCTTATTGATTCTAAAAAACAGGAAATTCTGTTGTGTTGTAGTAATATAAAATCACTCCCTTATTCAGTAAAATTCTTTATATAACATTTAAGTAGTTATTTAGATTGAATTTATTTATTAAAAAAAAAGTGTTAAAAACAAAAATTATTATAAATATATTTGTAAAATGTTTTAAAAAAGACTCAACTGATTTACATGTATTTCTGTAATTCTTGCATTATCTTCCATTTGAACCAGGGATGGGGAGTTAGTGGAAAAATACACTACTCACAACTTGGTATTTTTTTTTAAAATCGACTTCCAACTCTAACTCTCCATCCCTGGTTTGAACTATGAGAACTACACCAATTTAAACAGGATTAATTTTTCTTCAAAATGTTTTCAGCCTCCTTCATAGACAAGTAGCTAGACTGACTATAGTAGAGTGCTTCTAATAAATTGTGGTAGGGCCTTACTAGGGACCTCTAGGTCGCTGTCATACAACACACCAGAGAAAGTCTCCTGGAAAATTTTTGAAATATTAATAGTATTGAATAATGTACAGTGTGTACAAAATGATATAAAAATGTTCAAAATTAAACATTATCTAATATATATATTTAAAAGTTCACATTATGGACAGGGATGCTTGGTCCATAAGACTATGGACCTGTCATCATAGACCATCTTCAAGATTCTTTATTTCTCAGAACAAATTCAAAATAGCAAGTGTAGTGTTTGAAATTGATGTGCAAAATAATGAAATTATTTTGCTAAATTGGCATGGTTTATATAGGATATACATTCTGCTGTCATAATAATGTATCTTCCCTTTGAAAGTGTGAGAATATTTTTTAACAATGCCTAGCAAATTTTATTATACTGTAGGCCTTATACATTATATATATATATAAAATCACTTTCTAATCTACAAGAACATTTCTCATGTTTTACCAAAGGTGTCATTATAAATAAATTAAAATGATATGATTATTAATATCATAAATATTAATAATCATTTTTAATATTTATGATATTAAAATGTTTCAAATAATTTAGAATGATTATTTAATGTTGTTTAATCAAGTTTGCATAATTCTGTAGTCAATTGTTGTTTATTATTTAATGATTTTATGACAATGGAAATCCCTGATATCAGTTACTGGTATTGAACTATGTATTACATAAAATACAATACATAGAAACACCACTTTACCTTTCCAGATAAATATTTTCAGGTATTTTATTTCAAGGTTATTTGGATAATGGTTGTGAATATTTAAAAAAAGGAAAGAAAAACAGCTTAAACTATTCAAATGAAATACGTAACCTTATACTCAGAGATACATTTAAGTGTACAAAATTTCCTTCATTAAACAAATTAAATATTCAGTAAAAATGTTTAAAGCTTTAAAATAAAATTTTGACAGTTGTAAATTTCATTGTTTTGCAGTAATTTTATTAAATACTTATAGTTCACTTTTAATAATTGTGTTTGTTATAAATTTAACATTCAACAGATTAAAAGAAATATTAAACTTTGAAAAAATAAAATATTTACTTTGTAAGATGATCTGAATAGTAAATCCATTTTTGTCATAAGATTAAAAAGTAAAATAATAATTAACACTGATGATTTTTATAGAATTATTAATGTTACATTGTTGCATACTTATACAGTAATCAATTCCACATTTAAATTTGGAAAATTAAATGAAATATTTTAATAAAAACATGCTCTAATCTTACACATTCCAATTTTATTCTTCAGATAAGTGTAAACGAATCAGTTAATATGAATTATTAATCACTTATTTTGTAATTTATGAAATGTATATGTATTTAAGATATTTATGTAATATAGTGTTTATCTATTTTGAAATGTGCTAAATGCTAAAGAATTGTCATCAGAACTGTTTCTTTATTAAATTAATATTTTGAATTATACGATTTTTATGATCTTAAAATTTTTGTTTTTAATTCTGTTTCTTTTTATTCTGTTATTTAATAATCTCTGTTCATCACCAAAAGTATTACATTATCATAACTTTAAAAAATAAAGAAGTCATAATTTTTAAACATTTAAATGGTGCACTAAACATTTTTGAGCAACTTTTTTATCATCAAATGTTAATATAGAAGAAACACTGATCTTAAGGAACTTTAAAAACTTCAGATTTCTCAATTTAAGAATGTTCCATGTTAGCATCTGATGCTGAGGAGAAACTCTTAAAAAAAAAATATTTGTACTTAAAAAGTTCTATAATAAAATGTAGTTATGATGACACATTTGTGATGATAACCTATTTTCACAACTTCCTGTTACATAGGCCAACAATAACCTCAAATTGAAGCTAACAAGATTAATTTCAGAGCAGAGATGATCTATATGTTCAGAAAAAACGTTTTTAAGCATTCAAACAAGAATTTGAATAAATGCTTACTTATAATGAAATTTCCTATAAGCAAAATAATAATACAGTAATAAACATATAAATTTTTCAAATTATATACATAAATATTATACATAAATGCTAATTACACATAAATGATTAATTAAATAAATAATTTAATCCTAACAATTATATTTTATTAAATTTTATTAATTTTACTTGATTAAAATGAATTTTAATTTCAAATTATTTGATAAAGTTGTTATTGTCAATATAAATTACTTTCAATATAATCAGTTTCAACTCAAATTGTGATTCTCAATTTTCAAAAAAGTAAAAGATTGCTAATAAAGACAAAATGAATGTCAGAAAATAAATCAATAAAGTTTTCCTCTGGTACAATTTAGGCTTTAGATTGATGAATCAAAGATGATATTTCTTTATTTGTAATATCAGAACTACATGTAAAGTTGTACTTTCATTTCTTATTGATTCTAAAAAACAGGAAATTCTGTTGTGTTGTAGTAATATAAAATCACTCCCTTATTCAGTAAAATTCTTTATATAACATTTAACTAGTTATTTAGATTGAATTTATTTATTAAAAAAAAAGTGTTAAAAACAAAAATTATTATAAATATATTTGTAAAATGTTTTAAAAAAGACTCAACTGATTTACATGTATTTCTGTAATTCTTGCATTATCTTCCATTTGAACCAGGGATGGGGAGTTAGTGGAAAAATACACTACTCACAACTTGGTATTTTTTTTTAAAATCGACTTCCAACTCTAACTCTCCATCCCTGGTTTGAACTATGAGAACTACACCAATTTAAACAGGATTAATTTTTCTTCAAAATGTTTTCAGCCTCCTTCATAGACAAGTAGCTAGACTGACTATAGTAGAGTGCTTCTAATAAATTGTGGTAGGGCCTTACTAGGGACCTCTAGGTCGCT